TAAGCACATGGCCCAAACAGGCCATGCGCTTGCACACAAAACATGATTCTGTCATGATCCTGCCTCACGACTAGAGAAAATCAAGGACAAGAAGGCAGAATCATGACACCTAAAACAATTTAATATCAATAACACTATTTATAGGATTAGTTCATCCAAAAAATGTAATTCTGTCAACTCATCGATTATACCCTGCCCTTTCAAACCTGTGACTTTCTGTCGACATTTAAAAAATGTTGGTAAACAAACAATTTTGGTTAGACCTATAACATTAACATCCATTGTAAGAACCACTGACACATTTCTCAAAATATCTTCTTTTACATTACTTTTACATACAGTTCTATAGTGCATTCAGATCCAATGGATAGGAGTTATTTAAGCCAAAATGATTTTATACAGACACAGGCAAAAACAAAATATAGGCCAATATACAGAATGATTACAATATTAATGTACTGCCAATTTGGTAACACTTTATTTGAAGGGGTGTGCATAAGATTGACATGACACTGTCATAAACATGACATAACACCTGTCATGAACATGAAGGAGTCTTTATTACTTTTTTCAATAAGTGTCATTAGGTAAATTATGACACTTTTAATGCAAAGTTGACACTGTTTAAAATGTCTTTGTTATGACAACTTGACATTAACCAAGACAAAAAATGTCTTGATTATGACAACTTGACATTAACCAAGAAATCATAACCTGTTAACCTGACATCTTTATAACTAGTCCAACGTGTTCCACTTTACTTGCGGTAAGGGGAAATATTAATGACACTGTTGTTAAAGCATTTGACAGTGTAATAACCCTTAATTAAATCTTTATAACTAGTACAAACTTTACTTGAGGACAAGTAATATTCATGTCACAGTTATAATGGTGTCATGACCGCCAAAGTCAAAACCAACTACATATGACAGGGTTAATGTAATGTTAACGCAAAGCTAAATAACTTCTTAACTTTTGATAATTAGACCTGTTATGACATATCGGTGACAGGTTATGATTTCTTGATTAATGTCAAGTTGACATAACAAAGACATTTTTGTCTTGGTTAATGTCAAGTTGTCAAAACAAAGACATTTTAAACAATGTCAACTTTGCATTAAAAGTGTCACAATTTACCGAATGACACTTAATGACAACAGTCATAAACATTCATAAAGAATCCTTCATGTTCATGACAGGTGTTATGTCATGTTTATGACAGTGTCATGTCAGTCTTATGCACACCCCTTCAAATAAAGTGTTACCGTCAATTTGTATTATTTATATGGTATCAAACATCACCATTGCACTACAGTGTGTCCTAACATATCCAACATGTTTCTTTACTAGTGGAACACACAAACAAATGAGGCTAAAAAATTAAGTAAATGTATCGGAGAACTGTATTTTGCCAGGTTGAACAAGTCTATTATGTTTGCCTCAACCATATTACAAGCTTCTACGGTCATAACAACTGGATTCTGCTTGTGAAGGGGTGGTTCTTAGTACACACACACACACACACACACACACACACACACACACACACACACACACACACACACACACACACACACACACACACACACACACACACACACACACACACACACACACACACACACACACACACACACCTAACCCTGATCATGGATAACCGCACATTTCTCATGTCAGTGATCACCCACGGTTCAGATTATTTTACATGAGCAATTCGTAGTGTGAACTTCAGTAGCCCCCTCTGTCCACGGCCGCATTAACCATAGGGCTAGGCGGGGCTTAAGCCCCGGGGCCCAAGCAAGGAGGGGGCCCGTGATTGGCTGTGGAGCAGATACTGCAAGCCATCTGATTACCAAAGCCTTACCACGCAACGTCCCCCACAAATTATCCCTGTTATTTAGTTGCACTTTGCCTTATCATGGAATCATTATCATTAATAGAGACGTTCGCAAAGACCCGCCTTTTTTAGGTACTATGTGACGGACGGGCCACGAGCCAGGCGGCTCTCGCGAGTCACGCACATCATGTTCTCATGCACTCACGCAGTGAAAAATACTTCGCGGGGCAAAGACTAACGCCCGTTTCACACATACTCCGTTTGCAGTGCGTATGCGGTCCGTATTTTTTTCCGTACCCATGTTAACAGGTTAGAGCTTTCACACTGCACGCGGATGCAGTCCGTCGATCCGTTCCAGTTGCGGTGCGTATACAGCAGTGCAGAGATCGTTTCCGTACCGAGTCTATTTCTGCTGTGCTGCAAACGCAGAAATAAAGTGACAGCGCTCGGTTCGTGGTCAAAATGAACTCAGATTGACCTCGAAATGTAGTAGTTTCACCATAAATGCATTTAATTCAATAAAATGTAGTAATCTCTCCATAAAGGTATTTAATTGTTTCATATTTTTACTTTAAGACATCTTAATATACAAGTAATGCATGGAATTGTATGCATTCGTTGTTTAAATCGTGTTTAAACGAGCTAGCATGCGTCCATTCAAGCTTATCTTGCTACATTTGTAAAAGAGAATCGCAAAGCCATGGCAAAACTTTTATTTTTAAAAAAGTTACTGCATATGGTAAACATACTGTATTTTGATTACCAAAAACCAGGACACATGGCCCAGAAAACAAATGATACTCGAAGTTTACTCAAAGATGCCTTATTAATTTCAATACAATTAAAATAGGCTATGCCCCCTCTGTGGATAGAAAATTGTTGTATTAAGACACAAAATCAGATAGGCTTCTCAGAGGATACTCAACATGTTTTATTATGACAGGTTGGTTTAAAAAATAATGAATGAAATAATGATTAAAAAATAATAATGTCTCTTTTGTATTAGAAAAATAAATATATCAATATTAATTAACTAAAAGAAATACCTTCAAATTGAACAAAAATACCTCTCACAAACGTACAAAAACGAACTAGTTTCCTTCCTCTTTATCCTGTTTTTCCTCCTCATCCTCCTTGTCTGCTCATCTCCTATTTTGCTATAAAGCTGATCTTTTCCAGCGTTTTTTTTTTTTTTGAAAACCAGGACATCACTTTATAAAAAACGGCCAGGAAGGACGTGAAAACAGGGATAACAGGACTGTTGGTCACTGGTCACGCTATTGCTGCATAACTTCTGATTTTGAAATAAAAATAGCGAGTGTTTGTGGTACAGCTGACGCAATGCAAACGCAGCATATGTGAAAGCACTTTAGCGCGTGCGGCTCCTGTACCGGATACGCACCGCAACACTCACCGCATACGCACTGCAAACGGAGTATGTGTGAAACGGGCGTAACGTTACACCGAGTGATTACGAGAGAGAGTTCATGGCAGCTTACTGTTGATATGAAACAAAGTCTCAACTTTCAAATATTGTCATTTAAGTAATTTAAACATTACCGTTTTCAAGTTCATGTCCACCGACTGACAGCTTTGTTGTCGGACAAAGTTGCGTATTCGGCGTTATGATTGGCCAGGCCACCTGTCAATCAAACCCCCTAGGCATGCAGGGCCAACGGCTCTGAGCAGGGCATGGTAAATTGAAACGTCAGGTTTTAATTTGATATGACAAATATATTTATTCTATATTTAACTTGTGAACGACCGACCTGCTGCTGCACGTAGGCCTATAGATGATTGCTGCCTGCGCCTTATTAGAATAGGTTATATATCAACCAATAAATCGCCTTTACTCTTCTCTTCATTCTAGTCTATTCTTAAAACACAGCGTCATCATCGACCCCACAAACTTTCGGTAAGTTTGAATATTAACTTGATGGATGTATAATTTTGCTTTTTGTGTTTGATTAAACTCTATATTCGCCTAAAGGACTGGCGATAATATATCCGGTAGAAATATTTAAATTTTGCTGCGCCATCATGATGTAAGTTTATCATTTAAACGCGTTTTTAAACGTTGTGGTTTGGATACAAAATATTTCAAACTGCTCAGGCACAGTGAGCAGCGGGAGAATTTATTTTGTAAATGCTGGTTTTAAGACCAAGGTGAACCATAGACTGTGGTGAACTTGAGACGGTTTTGCACAGCGCACTTGAATCCGACTCTGAGGTCTCAAAGTGACAGACGCCGCTAATAAAGCTGCTGTCGCCATGTGTGTCAATAATGTTAATCAAACATCAGAAAGAAAGTAATTTACTGCATTTGACTGAATTACTTTTGCAAAATTAACAAGAATGAATGTTGAATTTATAGTGAAAACCATGTATTGTATATTTGATTACTTTATATAATATTATTCAGTGCTTTAAGTTTTTCATAGGTCGATTTATTGTGCCTTTGTTCTATTTTAATTTGTGACTCTTGTCATCAGTAAGCTTGAGATTATTTTCTTAAGCTACTATTATTTTTTGGTGATATTGAAATTGGTCACAATAATTATGAAATTTTAGTCAATACATTTTGATATGATAAAAAAATCATGTTAAAAGTAACATAACTTAACTGTGAAGTATATCATGGATAAAATGACTCGTAGGCTATAATAATATAACATTTAGCTCATGTAGTTGGTGACCTAAAGTGGTGGGGGGGGGGGGGGCCTGCAGTAACTCATAGCCCCGGGGCCCAGTGAGCTCTTAATACGGCCCTGCCTCTGTCTGAACTATATGAAAGCGCGTTTGCAACCAAAACGTCTCAAACGTGATGTGTTTTATACCTTCTGCCTGGTTCTTCTGCATCACCTGAGATGGAAAGACAATGATGCGACGCTGAGAGCATTAAAACCCTGTTGCATTCAGTGCAAGTGGGTTAAGAAGCATAAAATACTGATATGTGTCAATAATGTATATTTACCTATGATTACAGACACGTAAATGAAGGTTAGCGTAAAATTTGCGCAGTAGCAGAAACGAGGTACTATTAGCATAGATATAATATCATACATACAAACACACACCTCTGCGGCACGTTAAGTGAATGGATATCCAGGAAACAGTTAAGTAAATGAGTCCCGTTAGTGGAGTAGTAAAATCACGCACTTACCTTTGTCAGCTGCGCTATTTTCTTGCACATTTTTGTGTGCATTTGATAATCATACATTTCCTTCTCTACAATCACATTGGGGATGTCCGCAATAGTCCCGTTACATGCACAGCTGCCGCCGGGGGACTGGTTCATCTTCCCAGAACTGGAAGCCATAATAACCGGTTAGATCACGCTGATCAATCACAAACTGGGCTGCGCAACACACTGATCGTCTGTACGTGATCCTGAAGGTAGAGTCCTTACGACAGCCAAAAGCATTCTGCATGCTGCAACAGCGACCGGCGAACACCCTCCCGCTCCGCCGTGAAGCTGCCCCCGGTGAGAGCACTGCTCACGAGATAATGCCATCGGTACACGACTCACTGACACTGACGGCATGCGCCCCCAGCCCGGCTGGACACCTGTCTCTCACCCCGGGCGTGACTACAGTCTTACATTACAAGTCACGGGTACTGCAGTGTAACCTTAGCCCCTCCCATGAACACCAACACGCCCAGCACAACAAACATAAGCTCGCGAAATACCAAGCGTCAATTTCTTTGATAAACCGATGGGTTAATCCCTTTGGATTTGTTAGTGTGTGTAAAGATGTACGTTATATGAGCGATATTCTCAACAGAAAACAAGTCTACTTACTAAATAAATAAATATAATTGGTTTCAGTCCCCAAAATGTCAGTAACACCTCATTGCAGTACACGAGATCCAGGGGGCGGAGTCGGATCCAGATCTAAGGGGTGGAGATGGGTAGGATTATGGGTGGGGTCAGGGATCAGGGTGTGGAAATGGGAAGGATTAGGGGTGGGATCTGGATTCAACTCCTCCCCCTGGATTTCGTTTTCTGCAGTGACCGTTAGAGGGCCAGGTAAATTCTAAAGGTAACAATCTATGTGATTATTTCAAATAAATGTGAAGGGTGAAATTCCCTGAACCATATTTCGAAGTCTGAACCAAGTTTAGATTTAACCGTAATATGAGCTATAGTGATATGGGGTGTCGTTTGTAAAGCGGTTCATGCTGAAAATAACAGCAACATTTTGTCACATTTAGCTTCAAACTATGTTTAAAAAAACTGGTATGAATTTTTGTCACATTTTAGCGCATTTACATGTATATTTGTCAACTTAGAGATATTTAAAATGCACCCATAGACTGTAAAAAATAGGTTACACCAAATGTTAAATATAAATCTAGATGTTAAATATAAATATTACATCTAAATCTAAATGTTAAATCTAAATGTTAAATAATAAATCCATATTCAATCCATATTCAGTCCATGTTCAAAGCTGCAGTTACTAAGCCTCTTAGCGCCACCTGAAGGAAACCCCAAAGTATTGTCCCTTACAAACATGATTGACAGCCAGGGACGGAAAGAGGCGGTTCTACGTATCGTAACTCTCGCGAGAGCATTTTGAAAAGTGGCGCTTGCTTTCACCGTTGGACAAGATAGAAGCTTCTTAAAGATTTCTTTCAGGTAACGTTACGTCGCGGATAAAATATCATTTTGATCCAAAATAACATTTAAGCTTATACACTAGCAAGGGTGAATGTTGTAGTAAATTTGTATTTGTTAAAAGGATAAGTTTGAGTTAACTTAGGTCGACATGTTTTTGTGTTGTTGCTAGCTAACTGTCGGTGCTAACGTTAACATTAGCTAGCAGTTTATCGAGGCGGTGTCGCTCATTTTATAAAACAAATAGTTAGGCCTAACGTTACCTGTTTTACAGTCTATGGTTTTACTAAGGTAAATTTGCATTGTAATCGAAACATTTCATCAGTGGTCTTGTGTTTGATTTGTTGTGGGGTAACATGCATCGTACGGTGTCGTATATGCGAGATAATTTAATGAATAACTTTTTATTTAGATCATTAAAAGTGTCCAATGGGTGGAGGAAAGATCAGGTAACTTAACGTTAATGTTAACGATTCTGTCGTGCTGAGTTAAAGTTACATGGCCTATATTTGTTGTGACTAATATTTAACCTGTGAAGTGTGTTATTAACATTTTAACGTTAAAACAAAATAAGTAAGTTAACATGTTTAAGCGCATGTCCTCAATATGCGGTGTTCCATGGCTGTTTTGAATATGTAAACGTATATCAAATATAATTCTTTCACATGCAGGCTGTAATTTGTTTTTGTGTCTCAGCAACATCAACATGGCTGGAGACGCTGATCTGGAGATTGAAGAGGCTTTCCGTCGCGCACAGAAAGCTCATAATAACAAGGCGAAACTTGTTGTCAGTTTGAAGACCAGATATGATAAGGTGCAGCATAATTACGTGAATTATCGTTCAAAAGTTTGGGGTCAGTATTTGACAAATGAATACTTTTTTTTTTTTTTTTTAAAGAAAGAATGCATTAAATTGAATAAAAAAAGTTCTTTTAAAATAGATGCTATTGTATTGTTTTTTTAACGTTACATTCAAAGAAACCTGTGAAAACGTTACATTCAAAGAAACCTGTAAAAAGGTATGATGTTTTCCTCAAAAATATTGAGCTGCATAACTGATTTTATCATTGGTAATGTGTTTGACACCAAATCAGAATATTAAAATGTTTTCTGAAGGATCATGTGGCAGTGAAAACTGGAGTAATGGCTGTTAAAAATCACATGAATAAATACAATTTTAAAATGTACTAAAACAGAAAATTGTATTTTAAATTTTATTTTAAGTATTGTTATAATGGTTCACAATATTACAGTTTTACTGAATTTTTGATCAAATAAATGCAGCCTTCCCTAAAGGGATAGTTCACCTAAAACTGAAAATTCTATCTATTCTATCTTTTACTCACCCTCATGTCGCTACAAACCAGTAAGACTTTTTCATCTTCACAACACATTTAAGGTCTTTTTGATGAAATCTGAAAGCTTTCTGTCCCTCCATACAGCTACTCAACTGAAACTTTGACTCTTCAAAAACTTCATAAAGCGACTGTAAAACTAATCTATATGGATTCCTAATCCATTCCAAATTTTCTGATAAGACTTGTCTTGATCATCTTATAAGATGAACAGATTGAATTTAGGCTTTTTTTCGCATATAAACCTTGATTTGCAAATAATAAACAGAAGCTTAACTTAACCTTCTTGACCCACGTGAACAAAGAAAAAACCTCTTTGGATCTTGCACGTAGCACAAACATACTTGATTTTTATGTGTGAGATGATGAATGTTTATTTGTGAATAAAAGCCCAAATTATTATTTTTTCATATAAAGCTATTGTCTTTTCACTAAACTGCTCAATTCATATGGATTATTGTTATGATCTCGTTGTGTCAAACTTTTGTGTCCGCTGTCAAAGGAGGGACAGAAATGTCTGATTTTAATAAAATTGTCTTAATTTTTATTCTGCCGAGATGAACAAAAGTCTTACACATTTGAAACGACATGAGGATGAGTAATTAATGACAGAACTTTCATTTTTAAGTGAACTAACCCTATAACATTATAAAATCATACCAACCCCAAACTTTTGAAAGGTAGTGTAGGTGCATGGGAAATTTTTCTAACATGTTTTTTGCCACATCAAGACAAGCAATCTTCTAAATCTTCATTTTTAATTCTGTGTAGTTGGAAGATAAGTCCGAATTCCATGAGGAGTTCATCCGATGCCTGAAGTATGCCATGATCATTTACACCCGAGAGCCTGCAGTGGAGAATGTCATTGATTTTGTCACTAAGTTTGCTGCAAGTTTTGAAACGCCTGTTAATGAGGAGACTCAGGAGGAGGAAGATGATGAATCTGAGTTTTTGAACTTTCTGTTCAACTTCCTGTTGGAGGTAGTGTCGCTCCTGTAGACATTTGGGTTGGGGGAAAAAGTCATACCTCAGTGTACCTTTGTTTCCATTCAATATTTTTTTATCCACCACTTTACCGTCTTTTTCTCTCCTCTCCCTCAGTCTCACGGTGCAAACAGCCATGCTGTGCGGTTTCGTGTTTGTCAGCTGGTGAATAAGTTGCTGGGCAGTCTGAGTGAGAATGCCCAGATCGATGATGATCTATGTGATAGGATCCATGAAGCCATGTTGGTCAGAGTAACAGACAAATACCCTAATGTCAGGATTCAGGCAGCACTGGCCCTGGCCAGACTTCAGGACCCCAATGACTCAGACTGCCCCACTATTAAAGGTACTCTGAATGCTCATACTTTCACTCACAGACATTTAGTTACAATCCCTACTTAAAATGTTAATGTCCATGTTGATCCATGAGGCCAAGAAATGTAAATAAGGTAAATGTGATTAATTCTGTGTGATTGTAGCTTATATTCTGCTTTTGGAAAATGACTCGAACCCGGAGGTTCGACGTGCTGTGCTGTCTTGCATCGCTCCCTCGGCTGCTACACTCTCTAAAATCTACAAGCGAACCCGAGATGTCAAAGAGAAAGTCAGGAAACTTGCTTATCAGGTAAAAATGTCTAAGTATGTCTTTTTTTTACTGTCAGTTTTGATCAATTTAATGAATAATTGCTAAAAAAATAAATATATTAACTTACAATTTTTAACGGTAGTGTATGCAATAAATATGATTCTCTTTTGTGTGTGCCTCAGGTATTGGCAGAGAAAGTACATATTCGAGCTCTGAGCATCGCTCAGAGAGTGAGTCTATTGCATGAAGGCCTCAGTGACACTGCAGGTAAGGACATTGTGGTGTTTGTTGATCAAACTGTCTCCAGTTGTAAACAACTATGCATGTATGTATTGTAAACAACTATGCTAAGTCTAGGCACGAACAAGTTGTTTTTTAGGTGACAACTGGGCCATTAAAGACTCGCACACGTTTCTACCAGGAAAACACCTCATTATGTCGGCCCTTTCAAATCATTTTACTATCAAACATATCTTACTGCGGTGCCTATGGTAATATCAGACAACAAACATGTTTATGAGAAATATTTAGCAAAATATCGCCTGAATGCATCTTAGAATTTTTGTCTTGTGTTAAGCTTATACTTGATTATCTTATAATTTTGTAAATTGTATATCTCATATTATATTTACTGCTGATAGGGCAGTATAAGTCAGTAAACAAATCATGTCCATCTCCCTTAGACTCAGTGAAGGAGGTCATCAAGACCCATTTGCTGCCTGCTTGGCTTCGCTTGCTGCAGGGAGATGTTTTGCAGTTGCTGCACAAACTGGATGTAGAGAACTGTGCAGAAACTGCAGTGACTACCTTACATGCCATCTTTTCCATGGCATCAAACCCTGATGAACTCCTGCAGAACGGTATCAGGCTGGATGAGAGGTCAGTTACTTGAATCTAAACACCAGAACAAAGCATACTTCAGTCAGTGTTGTTTTGCGCCATCATTCAATTCACCAAAATCTAAAAACGTACACATGCCCTGCCCTTTGTATGTCAATTTGCATCTTCGAAAAGGTTTTTTGCCATTTTTTTATTATTAATATTTTATTTGTTCTTTGCTTTCAGTATCAGTAGAAGCATAGTACTTTCAGCAGCATTCAAGCAACATGGTTTCCACGGGGCATTACAAAGCATTAAAAGTCATTAAATGGTTTTGGAAAAATTAAGGCTTTAAATTGTATTAAAAAGCATTCAATTTTAATCCTACAGGCATTAAAAATGTAGATATAGGTGTGAAGAAAATTTTATATAATCAATTTATTTGA